CAGGGATGTTATGACATAACTTTATTAGCTTTCTCATTTCTTCAGGCATCTTCCCATCTCCTCTATTGCATATTTTGAGACCCTGAACCTTCAGTACATCAATCATATGCCTGCACAGCAAACAAAGGCATAAGCTTCCATTGGCATTTAATTCATTTAGCTTAATCTAGCAAACATGGATGGAAGTGGCAGGAATGATGAGACATGGCTTCTGGAACCTGTGCTGACAACTTCTCGGGTACCCCAGGCACACCTTGATTGTGTTTCCCTTGACAGTGTTCTCCAACTTGTTTAAGTAGCTAGTCACAAATCTGCTACACATACTATTAATTTATTCCTTTTCGCTAAACGGTTACAAAAAGAAGAAAGCCCAAATCATGATGATGTTTTTTTGTGTTTTTTTTTTTTTCTCACTTCCATACTTTCCAAGCTCTCCAATTCTTCTGTGTCCCAACAACCAAAGAATGTGAATATCTGAATACATATCACTGAACTTCCAATAACAGGGCAGTTATTAGGCAGTTAACAGGGCAACATTTTCCTGGAGGGCTACTTTGTTTGGGGAGAGCAACACATTCCAAAGGAAAAAAAAATCAGTTCAAAATCAGAAATCTAAGTTTAGTTAATTCTACCCTTTAATATTTACTTAGATCCTTAAGGATCTGAGACTTGCTGACAATAAAAAACGTTGAGAGATCTAATTTTGCGGTATTCCCATTGTGGCACACTCAGATGCGCTATGGGATTTTTAATTTCTGCTGTGATGACAAAGTGAGGTTGAAAATCTGGGAGAGTGTAAGGAATGTATTATATTCAATACTTAAGGCTAATGTTCTCCAGTTTGAGGGAAAAAACAAACAACAACAACAACAACAAAAACACCTTCAAAAGTGCAAGGCATTTCTGCCTTGTCTGTGATATACTACATAAAGTATTTTTAAATTAGTTCATTAAATTATCTCTGAATTTTCAGCTAAAATCAATATACATTTATAGCGAACAGTGATAGATCAGGAATACAAAGACAAGGACAAACAACAAGTATGCAGTGAAGGTTTTCTGAAGTATGAAAAAGTGTAGGGTAGTTGAGTGGTTATCATCTGAGAGAGCAGATACTGCACGAGGTTAGGAGATTATGAGAAAATGGGAAAAAGTAGAAAATTAGGAGATGAGAAAATGAGTCCTGCAGCACCTGATGGTCAGCAAGGAGACAGATGTCGCATCTTCTACATGGAAATCCTATTTAGGTGAGTATGGTGGATGCTCATCTCATAAGGGGATCATGTCATCTTGATTACTAAATGCGGTAGAATACTACAGCTTGTGACCTGATAAACTTACTGTCAGAGGCAGCAGACACTGGAAAAGAACTGTGTGCTTATTTCCTTCACACTTTGTCCTTTGGCCAACTTCTGATCTGTCTCCAGCTGCCTCGTGGGTCAGCAGGCGCCACAGCAGCCACTACCAAATGAAGGAATCAGCTCCCACTTCCTTGCCACACCTCTGCTGGAAGTGAGGAAATCCTGTCAAGCTACAGGGATATTATGTCAGTACTGCTAAAAACACAATCCTGGGCAGCTTTATCTCGGGGCTCTAAAAAGTTACTGACAGGGACCAAACGTGAAATTCATCTTTGGGAATATCTTCAGAGATCTATTCTCATTTACTACCCGAAAGAGTTCCTGTGATAGCAGAAACTCTGTCCATATGATTAAGGCAATCATGATAGAAGTTAGTGCTACTAATCACAACTGGAATTAATAGGTACAGTAGGAAACAAGATTACATGATAAATCACTTTTTATAGCAAATTTTTAAAATATGGAAAAGAGGAAAAACTCAATAAAATGTAAAATGTTCAGCTAGCTAACAGATCAAACAAAAAGTAATAGTCCAAGAAATGGTTGCAGCCAAATCTCACAATTTGAACAAGAGCATAAATCTGAGAAGATAAAGTAAATAAATGTGAATAAAAGTACATTAAATTTTTAAATTAAATCAGAAAATAATGGGTTTAATTCTAAAGGGAACAGTGTGTGCCAGAATATTGAGTTATACATTGCTTTATTGAAGAGTAGGTCAAGATCTTATCAGCTCTATTATGAGGAATGTCAATAAAAGGCTGTGCAATGATAAAATGTTTAATTAAAAATGAACATTGTGCAACATATGAACTCTTTGTGTTATACAGAAAGAGCAGTCAAATGTATTACGTTCTTCAAGTTACAAATTGCACTAAATCTTTGCCCTCCTCCCCCCAACTGTACATTCTTATCAGTATGAAATCTTGTATAAAAATAGATTTATTTATATTGGATCTTTTACAAATTAGTTTAAGATCATCTACTTCCAGGGTGCTTCAAACACTTTGAAAATCCAGATCAACTGTATTGAGAACACTGGGCTCTTGTTCTTGGTATTCTTCCAGTTGAATAAGTGGTATGTTTTGTCAAGTTAATTAAAAAAGTAAAGGCTTAACAATGATGTATGTTGATGAAAAAGTAATAGAAACTAGCAAGATTAATTTTTTACTTCATTATTTTAATATACATGCATATAGAGTTAGCATCCTAAAGATCTCTTAACAACTCAGTAGAGTGACACTATGAAGAAAATATGAATGTTTTGTAAGGTGTAAATGACCGTAGATGATTCACGTTCCAACAATAGTAGTGTGAGAGAGTCTGCTATTAAAGCAAAAAATTAATCCTTACTAATCATTTCTATTCATGGACTAAAAACAAGCTTATCAAATCAAGTTAGCAAAGAAAAAGCAACCATACACTCAGGAGAAGAGTTTGTGATCGCAGATACTGGTAATATTAAAGAGCTATTAAATTATCCATTGTTTCCTCTCCAAGTTCAGGCTCATTTGTACTGTATTTACCTGTTGGATTGCCACCCTATCTTTTGGGAAATAATTCTGAAATCCTTTCTCTCTTTTTATCATATATTATTTCCTGAGTGTTGGTCTACAATTACCTCTAACAATACCATCATTTTTAAGTATAGAAAAACACAGATATAAAATTGTATTTTTCTCTGAGCATAGGATACCCCAAATCAAGAACAAATAAACTTCAATAAGAGAGAATTACTACCTAAGAAGCAGATTTGGTAGTAATATTAAAAACTAAGTCAGAGGAGGTCTAGTATGGGGCATGAATAGAACAAATCCTTCACCAGGAGCCAGCAGATATTCCCAGGGTCATGGCCTAGTTGAAGTTAAAAGAACCCCCTTACACACTGATCACAGTGGGGCCAGATATCATCCCCATATTCTATTCATAGTATATCATCACAAATGGAAACTACAAATGAAGTATCATGAAGTGAGGTGCCTATAATTCATAATGTTTTCTTTCACAGTAATAGCCAAGACCTCTCCCTGAACTCCAACAGAGGCAAATTAGTTCCACATGTCAGATACCAACTGCAATATTTTCCCTTACACTTGGTACACAATGAGTGAATGCATTACAGCGTAGAGCAATTAATACATTTCTTTTTGTGAAATAATGAATGGCAGGACAACTCAGAAAAAATGTCGCTCACTTGAAAGGGGTGAATTGCTTGCCCATGAAGAATAGAGAAGTAGGAAAAGCAATCAATGGAAAATAAGATAAATTAAGCCCCCCACTGTCTTACATCTTCCTAGTGGTTGTTTTAGTTGCATCATTTTCAATGCTTCTTTCTTTGCAGGTCTCCAGGTACCCCCACTTACAACATGTAGTTTGTAGGTCACCTCTGAGTCTAGGATTACTGTGTGTCACAATCCTAACTAAATCTGTTTAGCTTTTAAGTTTTCTTGCAATAGAAATCTAATATATAGGATATATATAGGATAGGACTGTTAAGCACAGGCAACTTGTGCATTTTGCATGCTCTGGGGTATCCTGCCAAGGGCTCAGCTGCTGCTCCAGATGGCCACAGATCTATTGCAGGTTGTGTGTCGTATTTACCAGTCCCATGTTTAAGTAACATACTCTCACCTCAATATGTCTTTACCAGTGAGAAAATAGTAAACAGGAACCAATGCCCTTAGGCAGTGTCTATTCATTGCACTGCACTTTGACCAGAAATGATGTGAGCACGTAGGAAAACATTTCTCAAAATCACTCTCATTAAACCATTCTATTAAGAAAAACATTGATTACAGAGTGTTAATTAAGATATATTATTTTTAATAACACAGGAAATAGGGAGTATAATTTCAGTCACAGGTAACAACCACAACATCCCAAGAATGCTTTAGAAAATTACTGCGAGACTAACGAAACCTCATAGAACATTAGAGTTCAGTATAACACTTTGAAGTGTTAGCAGCTCTGCTTGGTAGAAACCAACACATAGGAAGCCATTACAGATGACAAATCAATATGAAGCAAATTATGGATCTAACAAAATAATTTTGTAACTGTCCCTTCCATTGTCATACTTCTGCGATTACCCTATAGACCTTCTGAGTTTTTCACCAAAGAGTTTTCTCCAAGCAAGTCTCTTCTATTGCATTTCCATTCTAAGTCTTTCATACGCACTGTCTTTTGTTTCTCAGCTCCATTTTGCTGTAATATCTTTTTGTTTTTTGGGTTTTTTTTTGGAGCACCAGGGTAAGAATGACCATGCGTACTTGTTTCTACTGTTACTTATGCAATGGTCTTGAAAACTACAATCCTGTTATAGAATTATAAGAATTCTTCCCACTATATAAACCATTGATATTTTAGATACTCATTTTTTTCAAAGCCAATTATAGGAATCTAAATATATCCTTCTCTTTCCAGGTTCTGCTGCTGATAATGAGTGGTGAGTTATGCTGCAGTGTTATCAAGATACCTTGAATGTACCTTCTGCTGATAATTTTAGAAGTCTCACCGATGGCAGCAATAGTTGTGAGGTCAGGTATTTCTCCAAATTTTAGAAGATTTAAATACTTATTTGCCTCAATTTACATTAGATAGAAAAGTAACTCTAATCTCATGGAAAAGAAAGAAACATACCTTATTCTAAGAGACCTCTTCCATTTTACCAATATTACTCAATGCTGCATGTGACATCACCAGAAGAATGGAGCATCACACCAGACAGAAGTTGACATCTACAGAAAATGTTACTTTCCAGGCCTGTAATATAAAGACAGTGCATAGTTCACTCAGAAACAATGACTCCATAAAATTCTGAGATTATTGTTGTTCAGTTCATCTCTCTCAAATTTAGCCTGCTCAACAAAGAAAAAAAGTTTTCTTTTTTTTTTTTTTTTTTTTTTTAAAAAAAAAAAGGCAAAAACACTCCTTACTTTGAAAACTCAATTTGACATATAGAATTCAAGCTTTTTTTTATGGTTTCTGCATCACCATCAATCATCTTGATCCAGTATCATAAAAGGCCTATATTTGACAAACTATTTTTTGCCATTTATAAGTATGGATATTGTTACTTGCATGTATGAGCTTTCTTGCATTTTCAAAGTACCTAATATACAACAGAATGTTGAAAACCATGTAACAGTTACACAATATATAGGAACTGCAAAAGTGTGAAGCTAAGCATTGTAGAATTAGATATAGATGATCTAGGATGTCTATATATGTTGAAGTTAAAGCTACGTTACCGGAATTTCATTAATTTTTCTGATAAAGCATAACCAAAGCGGAAGTGGACTTTTGCTCCTAAATTTGCATGCTCTTGTATACATGCAATATGAACACATGCAGAAAGGATAAGTGAAGACAGATTTGATAATTGAAGAATAAATGGAGATCACAAAGAATATAAATCCCGTTTTATATATATATATATATATATATATTTCTTCACGTATTCTCTTTTCCAGTCATCACCAATTTTTAACCAAATTCAAGATACTTTGTAAACATACATAACTTAAATAGAGTGGCAATCAAATTTACAGAAGATCGATTTAATCTCGCATTACACAAAACATCAGTGACTTCATATATGCATTTTTGCCCCTTATACCCTTTTTGCCTGGTGTAGCAGAATGTCACTAGGACACTATTTAACCAAAACAGATCATGCAGATCACAGTTGAAGTGTATCATTTTAAGGCAAGAAAAAAGTGTTTTTGGAGTCTTTTTGGAGTTCAGTTTTAGCAACTGAAGATATTTTCTGTATTTTGTACTAAGACGTTTGTAAAACTGCAAAATGCAAACGTATTTTCTTTATAATTGATGCTTCTAATGATTAAGTAGTTATTTTTCCAAGGCAAAAGTACTTTTTTAATTGAAAGTAATACAAGCATAGCAATAGCTATGCAAAACTACAAGGCAATTGATCCCAGTATAATATCCATCCCCTTCGTTAACCTTGAGTGTTGAATTATGTCTGTGTGTTTATCATTTCTAGGTATGGATACATATATGATTACAAGACTAAATCTCAAGAGACCCACGGTTCAAAATGTCAGCTCTGCATATAGTATAGATGAGCAGGCCAAAAGAAGAAAACAAGCTTGGCATGTTTCTAATTGGTTTTCTTTATTAGCATTCAAAGAAATCCCCACAGGCAAAGCCATACACAGTTAAAAGTACTGAGTTTTAACTATTTTTTGTGTAATATAGTTAACCCTTAAGATACAGATTTTAATACAGGCAGGCACTGGCGTTGTTGGTTTTGTTGTGAAGCTTATGAAATAAATTTAAATGTTAATCCTTCAAATGGTAGTCATTCAATACGAAACTCAGCAATTGTACCACAGTATGACTTTTTCCTTCAGTTCACATACTTTCATAGTGATATTCAATCTCATAAGAGGCATAGGAGAATAACTTGAAACATGTACTGCTGTCCTAAAAATTTCAGAGCTTTCAGTGCATAAACATTTATGAAGAACACCTCATGCAGCTTCATCTTTGTTGAAGAACTCAGGTCAGATCTACTTTGAATACGCTGAAACAGTACCAGCAGCACATTTCACTTCATAGCTGAGCAAACATGGGATTTAATATACAGATTATAAAGACAAAGAAACAATATGTATCAAATAAGAAAATAAAAGGTATGTTCAACATTATAAAGTGTAACTCTGTGATAAGGAACTATAGCACACCTAACTGAAATCACCACTTTGTGGAGGGTAACAAACAGAGTTACAATGGAAATCAAAATTTTTATTCTTTAACAAAACAAATCAAAACTCAGTGAGAGACAACAGAGCATATTAAGAACAAATCCCATGATACTGAGACATTACATGCTAAATGCCATCACAGTTTTTTCTTGGATAGGACGCGAGAATTTAAGCCAAGCGCAATAGAAAGGAATTACCACAAAATATTAATGTCCTGCTGCCTTCCACTATTGAGGGTAAAGAGTAAAAAATAAGATCTCCAAAATTTGCCTGAGAACTCTAGAAATAAAACCATTTTCTAAATGTTAAATATTGTACTGTTCTGCTTGTAGCCAAGCACTCAAATGAAACATAGTGATCCAGACCTGTATTATTTCTTGTTTTCCAAAAACAAAAACCCAATACCACATTCTCTCAGGACCACACATTTTCAGACAATCGCCAGAGCAGCACCTGAAGAAACTGAACCTACTCTTCTTTCTTTGAAGTGTTCAAAAAATAAAGGAAGATCACAGGTCTGCTCAAAAAATTGAGACAAACAGAAAAAGTGGATACTCTGAAAAATACATTAAATACACTACTGAAGTCATCACTGGCTGAACATAATGCTCTTCTCTTTTTCCAAGAGTTGCAGTAAATACCCAACAACTCGCTATAAAGATTCACAACATTCAAAATATTTAAGCATAAGTGATTTTATGTCATCTACAATAAGAATAGTATTTGTCACTTTGATTTTTGTTTCACTATTTATATGAGTACCAACCTCAATCTTTCATGACTATTGTAAATTTTGACAATAAAAAGTTCAACAGGAGAGATCCTACTCAGAAAAAAAAAAAAAAGAAAAAAAAAAAAAATCTGTTAAAGTAGAAAGGAGCTTGTTCTTTGTACACAAACTGCAAATATTATGTACTGTTAATGGACCTTGGACTTTAAATACTTCACCACTTCAGTGTGATCCCATTCCATCTTCAGAATGAGTTGACAGGGAGTGACAGCATGAAATTAGTCTGCTGATATCTGATCTTTGTCCACTTGGGATGAAGCTTCTGAATAAGAATTTGTTATAGGAAGCACCATCCTTCCCAGCTTCAGTTGGCTACATTATTTATCTATTTTATTCACTGTGAGCATTAAAAACATACTGCCTACAAGGACCCCTCAAATAGATCATCTCCAAGTCACATCTTTAGTATGGGGCAAACAGCCAGAAAAAAAATTCCTATTATTTTCACTAAAGTATCACTATTCAGAGCAGAAAGAGTACCACACTAAATATCCATGGCTAAAGATGAAGTTTAAAATAGGTCTGCATTCTCTTCTTCAGAAATGCCTCCCAGAAAGGGCACCCATCAAGATGAGGACAGTTGCCCTGAATTTATAACAGTGCAACAAGCCGCCTGAGTTGGCACTAGTAAAGCCTGTATTTCTGAGGAACGAGACATCACTCACTGGAGGAACAGGGTACTTGAATTCCATCACCTGGTTCATTTCAAAATAAAGTTCTCCTTAACTAGATTCATGAAAGACAGATACTATGATGGTAAGGTGATATGAATAAAGAGTATTCTGTTTGATGTTAAGGTATGGTCAGATTTTTGTGCACTAAAAATGTAGGAATGTTTAAAACATAACAAAAGTCCATAACTCAAATATTACAATTTAGAAGACTCAATAAAAATAATAAAATAACCTGCTTTCATCTTCGTAATTTGAAACTTCAACTCTTTACACATTCTTTTCCTTATTTTCAAATAAATATTTATTTCATCGAACAAGATCTAGATGGCTGAAGTGCTATTCCTGACCTTCAAAGCCTCTGGAGTTGATCTGAGAAGATGCAACCAGTCCACAGATCTTTGAACATTTTTAGAATGACTCTTATAAATAGAATTGTGAGGTTTTCAAATATAGGTAAATATTTCCTTGATGTGTCCATGCACCATGAGAAAGGTCACTCCTCTCATGTCATTCAGTCAAAACCAGAAGTGCTAGGATTCTTTTCTAAACTTGTTTGAGCTAGTGTGACAACTGGAAAATAAACCATATGTGCCATCATCTCTAGACGATATACTCAATTTGATACCTGCCACAATATAATGAGGGGAAAAAAAAAAAAAAAAGATTAATTCCCAGGACTTTGACCAAACAAAGGTTTGGGGCTTTTTTCCCTTCCTATGAAGGACTCATTCACAGTGTTGCTAGTCAAATACATATAAAGGTCTGCAGCCTTTTCATTTAGAATCATAGAATCAAATCATTAAGGTTGGAAAAGACCTCTAATATCCTCTAATATCATGCTGACTTATCATCACCATGCTGATAACCACGTCCCCTAATGTCACATCTACATGTTTTTTTATAAACCTTCAGGGATGGTGACTCCATCATCTCCCTGGGCAGCTGTTTCCAATGCATTACCTCTCTTTCTGAGAAAACGTTTTGCCTAATATCCAACCTACACCTCCTCCTGGGGCAATTTAAAGCCAGTGCCTGTTGTCCTATCACTAGTCACCTGGGAGAAGAGGCGTACGCTTACTTTGCTACAATCTCCTTTCAGGTTGTTACAGAGAGCGATTAGGTCTCCCCTGACCCTTCTCCAGACTGAACAACCCCAGCACCCTCAGCCACTCCTCATAAGACTTGTTCTCCAGACCCTTTGCCAGTTTCACTGCTCCTTCTCTGGACATGCTCCAGAGCCTCAATGTCTTTCTTGTAGTGAGGGGCTCAAAACTCAATACAGCACTCAAGATGTGGCCTCACCAGGGCCAAGTACAGGGGGACAACCTATTCCTTAGTCCTGCTGACTACACTATTTCTGATCCAAGCCAGGATGCTGTTGGCCTTCTTGTCCATCTGGGCACACTACTGGCTTATTAGTTACAGCCAACTGTGACTAACATTGACTAATACCTCCAGATCCTTGTCCTCCACACATCTTTCCAGCCACTCTGGCCTAAGCCTGTACCACTGAATGGGGCTGTTGTGACCAAAGTGCAGGACCCGGCAGCTGGTCTTATTACAGTCCAC